TAATAATAATAATAATATTAATAATAACAATATTAATAATATTGATAATAATAATAACAAACTTTATCAATTATTTTTTCATACAAACTTGAATCTTACATGTATCTGGTAAAAAATTCAGAAATTCTGTTGTTTCTTAAGTTTTTTCCCTAAAATAATTTCTGTAAAACAATTTCAATAGCCTACCTACATAATTATACTCTGTGAGCATTTTCAAGCATTAAGTGGCTATGTACACAAGTAAAGGTAAATTATAATAATGATAATTATTATGATGACATAAAACTCGAATCTTACATGTATATGGTAAAAAAATTCAGAAATTCTGTTGTTCTTTAAGTTTTTTCCCTAAAATAATTTCTGTAAAAATTGCAATAGCCTACCTACATAATTACACTCTGTAAGCATTGATGATTTATTCATGAGTTTGAGAGTACTTTAAAAAAAAAAAAAAAACACTATTCATATACTAAAGTTTTGATGAAAATAAAAATGTTAAAAAGATCCTTAAACACTAATTCACAAGTTCACTCCATTATTCACTTGGTTAGCGTTTAAATTAAGCGGCAGTCATCAATGAAATCCTCTTGTGGAATTTTGTGGAAAGGTGTCCTGGAGCCCCTCACACATGTGTGTATCGACGTTAAAACCTCAAAGGAAAGCAATGTTCTTATCCAAGTAATAGTAATGTGATAAGGTTCCTCATTCTTTTCTGAGAACTTCTCGGCTGGGCGTTTGAGAGAGCAATTACAATCGGCTCCCATCCCACCGTTGGTTCCAAAAACTCGGGGAGTTAAAGATCCCATTTCAACGTCTAGCACCCTCTGTTGGTACTTCTGCTTTTTCTCCTCCTCCTGCTCCTTAAAGTTTGTGGATGTTGCTTTTTCCTGGTTACACTTGGAGTTAACATGCATTACTCTGACATCAAAAAGTGCTGTAACTCCTCGAGACCAAAAGCCCCCTGCCTTCATGTCCAGTCTTGTCTCCGGACTTGTCACCGCGCTTCTGAGGTTGAATCGCTCATTATCGAGAGTTTGTAGTTGTGGTTTGACTTCAACGTTGTTGCAAACCTTACCTAGAAATGAGGTAAGCAGGTTGCGAACGCCATCGTGTCTCTGCGCTACAAACCCTACCTTTTTGCAAGACAGGGCTGACGGTATACTTATCACCACAAACACGCTTCCTTGGTAAATCGGACAGGTGCACATTATACCTTAAACGCAGAGTCTCTGAATAATAATAACAACAACAACAACAACAACAATAACAATAATAATAATTTTTTTCAGATAAAAATATAATTCTTTATTGAGCTCATTCAAATTCTTCACTAAAACTTTACGTAATAATAATAATAATAATAAGTAATAGTAATAATATTAATAACAATAAAAATATTTTTAATTAATAATCTAAAACTTTATTATCACAGAACGAAATAATAATAATAATAATAATAATAATAATCTGGCATGTATTTCTTCATTAAATAATGAACTTCAAAAACACCGTGTGGTTCATCAAGGCCATATCTTACTTCGTGCTGCTACGAAGCCTTAATAATAATAATAAAAATAATAACAACAACAACAACAACAATAATAATAATAATGATAATAATAATAATAATAATAATAATAATAAGTGATAGTAATTGGACTGAGTGGAGTACAATTTAGGGAGTAATCGCGCGAGTAATTTCAAAATCGGACGAGCGCTAAGCGCGAGGCCAATTTGAAATTACGAGGTTGATCGCTCCCTGAATTGTACGACACGAGGTCCAATTACTAATTAATCGTATTTTTAACAAATTTTGAAATTAAAATGGTCTTTGGAGAACTTCTTTTGAGCGAAAAAGTCAATAGCGCTTTCCATAAGTTTTAAAACCTGTAGGAAGCATTACGAAGGAAGCCATTAAAACGCGCGTAATTGACGGGCGAATCACGTATGTATCCAATAACAAAAAGTTAAAATTGGATACCCACGCGATCATGCGCCGATTACGTGACAAATAGGCCCACGGAGAGCCAATCACAATCGAGAATTTTGTTATAGACACGATTATAATAACAATAATAAACCCAAAAGTGTTAATAAATAACAAACATACAAGAATAGTGAGGAAGATTAGGGCAGACTTATCAAGCGTGTGTGGTGAACATTTCCGAAACAAATTATTAAGCCGTTTCAAGATTTTGGAAAACGCGTTCAATAAACGATGGAATGAACTGGACATTTTAACCAGTCTTTCATATTTTATTCCATCCTTAACTTTCATTCACTTTCATAAACATATCCTCGATAATTTTATTCCTAGTTTAATTTTTGGTACACGTTTATCTTCCAGATCTTGTCCCAAAACGAGATTTGGACATAAATGGCAACCACATAAAAAGGGCTGGTATAGTATAGTAGATTACTGAGGATGAAAAACTGTTAAAAACGAAAATATTGATACGCTGTAGTTATATACTCATTTAAGCCAGAACATTTTAGCTTACGAAGAAGCAAAGATGATCCTTTTTTGTTGGTGAAAAATTACTACGCATTCCCAAAGTTAATTTGGTTTTATCAGTAGTTGATCAAAGCAAGTTTAAAACTTGAGGTTAAAAATTGGTGGTGAAAATATTAAGCCACATGTACAGAGAAACTGATGTAAAATTCATCTGGACCACCCACAAAGTCAACGAAGAATTATTACCAGGATCTTTAATCTTGTGGATAATTCTGATACTGAACACCACCAGTCAGTTCAGCCATACGAGTATTTTCCTTTGCGTATGTTGTGTCTTTGAGGATCAGCAGACAAAGATTTTTACCTATTTGCAGTTTTGTTCTAGTTTAATACTCTCTGAAAAAGATCAAAGTAGATGGTTGAAAATTTGATTAATTATTATTTTTACGATTTTGCCACCAATTTTTACTCACATTTTTTTCAGTTTCAGAACCCTCATTAAGTCTTCCGAACAAATGACCACTCAAGCAATAATACACGATTGAGGCCCTTTTAGGGGTTTTAGGGATAAGGGATAACTGACAAAATAATTTTAGGGATAAGGAATAACTGACTAAATAATTATAGGGCTAAGTGAGATAATTTTAGGGATAACAAAATGTAGCTTTGATTTCTCAATTGTCAAACGTTTGGTCACTTTTGCCGAGGATTGACATCACCGGCGGCCGCTAACGAACAATAACGGGCCATTTATCAGTCCAAATTCAAGCAAGATGGGTCAGATGTCCAAGATTTGCCCCCAGGCTCTTTTATTCGGTCAGGTACTGACCAGAGAGGAGAATATTTTAAGGTGACGTCATATAAAACTGTAGAGTTTTCGTATGATTATGCAGTATTAGGTTATTAAGAAACGGGTCGCTTTACACTTTAAAATTGCCACCTATTGTCAAATTCCAAAAATAAGTAATTTTGGGGATAACAGTCTCGGCAATTTTAGGGACAAGGGATACCTGCCCCAGGAATTTTAGGGATAAGGGATGACTAACCCCACCCCCCCAACAGAGCTTCACGATCATACACTTGTGACGACGGAGCTTATTTCTTTTAGGACGGGTCACTGTAAATCAATTTTCTCCAACGTGTTTTGTCATGTCATGGTGTAAATAATCGTGTTAACTGCCCCCGTTCCTTCACTCCCCTGTTAGGGCCAAAAAGAGAAACTGAAGCATACAAACATAACTTGAAGTAAAACAATTATATTGTGATTGCAACTATGTAGTTGTCGATGTCGTTGTAAATATATGCGTGTGATTCCATCCATGCAAAAGTTGTTACATTTCAAGATTTTCACCAATAAAATTCCTTTATTTTGACATCTTGGTCAAGCTATTTTCTCATTAGTTACAAATCGAGCTTTATTGCTCCAAATTACTCACCAATTAACCCGGAAGTAATATTCATCTAACGTTGTAAATTAAAATTAAACGGTTGGCAAAACGGACTTGTCTGGTAAGACCGATATTCAATGCTCTTGAGAACATCCGTCGAAGTGTTCAACTTTGGAGCTTGGATTAGGCACTTTTAGATTGCGCTAGCACAATTTTTGGCATCATTTAGAAAAACGAACATAATTTTTGCACTTTTTGTAAAAGTAGTACTACTAGCATAATCAGCATATTGCTAAAATTTTTGAAAGGGAACATTACTAGAGTCCTTGCTTGGACTGTAAGATTGATTATTTTCAAGTTCTGTCCATGTTTCAGTCTATTTTCTATTTTGCAATGTCTTGGAGAGGACTGGGGAGAAGGTTTGCACAGTGCTGCATCATTTGTCGTCTAGACAACTGGGCACACCGGAAGTGAGATTGTGTCGGTCCCAGTTCCCGCATGACAGGTAACAAAATGGCTTCGAGCAGCTTACACACTCGAGAAGAACAGCCATCCGATAGGCCAGAACCTGCTCAAATTAATAGAGATGGGAGCCTGAAGCAAACCAAAAGCAAATACAACACCAGGGGCACCTCATGCGTTAATAACAGTAAATATATAATCTGGACTTGTTTTGTTTCTTTTTCTGAAAAGAAAAAGTAGCATAATTTTTAAAATTTTCATAAAATTTAAAGCTGTTTTTGTTGCCAAAATGTTTCGTGATTTATCGCCAAGCCAAGTGTTCTTAACATTTTTAGCAGGTAAAAGTTTAGAACTTTCTTTTACTTCTGAAATTGTGTATCAAAACCTACTAACAATTTCAAATTGACTAGTTTAGCTTTCGAGGTGCGTCAGAAATTTGATGCCGTTCTGTGTTAATAGAAATCGTTCCCGAACCCGTCAGACACCCGGTAGAGATATAATAAATATCTTACTAACCTCGTTTTCTCGGTCCTTACTGTAAGTTACGGATCCTCGTTTTTTCCCCCATCGATTTATGCCCCCCGCGCTTCGCGCTTGGGCCATAAATCGATGGAGAAAAAACTCGGTCCGTAACTTACAGTACCGACCTCGAACTCGGTTAGTAAGATGTATACAACAATGAAGAAAAATGTCTGTTTTCCATGAATAATGTGTGTTCATGACTATATTATTCAAATTATTCAAGAAACTGCCGCGGCCAGATTTAAAACTAGTGAGAGTTTGTGCTTGCCGCAGTTTGACAGGTTGACAGGTAAACTGTTCCACAGCTCTGCAACACTATAGCTGAAAGTGTTTTTCAGAACGTTGTTACAAGGCAGTGTAACAGCTAGTTTGCCAGTGTTTGCCTTTGTAGTCCCTTAGTGAAGCAAAGCAGTTTTTTGTTCCATTTGAAACACTCCTGTGCTTTTAAAACGCTATAGTGCAACCTACCCTGCAAACAAGCTCCCATGGGCCCAGTGAGGGCGGAAATAAATTAAGCGAGCCTTACAAGCGCGAAAAAAAAAAAAGAGATCCACAGGCGAAGCGAACTGGCCAGCCTGCTTTACTTGCCAAATTCTTTTTTTTGTGCTCGTGGTCAAATGTGTTTTCTGCCCACGCCAGGCCGCCTGTTTGCAGCCTTAGTGTAACCCCACTTCGATTATTGTAGTGTTGTTCGAGGAATTACAACAACATGGAAATTCTGAAAAATGGTACGAGATATATAACAGTTCAATTACACCCAGTCGTGAAAAATAATATCATTTGCAAAGGAAGTATTAAAGGATTACAACTTCCCAATACATGTAGATACTATCTGGGCATGTAGGCCTGAGAAAATGGTATGTAAATTAAAAAAGTATATTTATAAGACTAGTAGAAAATCTATCCACTCATGGAGAGTAACTTTTATGTTCTCTGGCACCAGTAAATCTGAACAATATAAGGAATGGTAAATGTGCCTTTTTCCTGCTTGTCATGTTTGCTCAAAATTAATTTAACCCTGTCTATTGTTCTTTGTTGTTCTTCCTTACTTAGCACTGCTACGACACTGATAGACATGATTCTGTTTATGAACTCATCAAAGTTAAAAGTCTGTTCCATTTTGAAACTTTCATCATTATTTATGGGCCCAAATTTACCAGATGCACTTAAGACTTTCTCCCATTCACCCGACTGTTGGTTTGGTGTATTGGATTGCTTATATAAAGGGAGGACAATTTCCTCATCCAGTTCCTTCACCCAAGGTAGGGAGCGGTCACGCCTATTCCATACCAGACCAAGCTTGCCTCCTGGAACAAGTACACGGTGAATTTCAGAAATGGACTTGTCATTGGCAAACCAGTGGAAACTTTGAGCAGCAATCACTGCATGCACACTAGAATTAGGTAAATCTGTAAAATAAAATAAAAAAGTTATATTTGTACGTGTAATAACACTGTTCTACCCACCCACAAAAGTTAATGCTGACATATTTTTGATAAGGGTCTTAGTGTCCTTGCTATGTTTTGTTTGATTTGACTGATCCATTTCAAAGTTTGCAATAATATTATTGCAAATAATATTTTTCATCGTACTTACAGTAATTCCACTTAGATTAAATTTTTAAAGTAACTCATCTCGAAAGAACAAGTTGCCACCATTTTTTCCCCCTAGGACATGGTTCTTAAAACCCTGTTATCCCACATGGGCTCTTCCAGGATACCTCCCTATCCTCTGCTTATCTAGTTGATGGCCATGGAAGCCTGCCTTTCTCATCTCTGTTTCCACTGTACACTGCTAGCCGTCCCCTGGTCCCCTCCCTCCCCTTTTGCTTCCACTGTAGGTTCCATCAAGGCATGCTTGGTGATGTTGGCCTTATACTGGGCAAAACAGGATCCTACTCCATAGGTAGGAGGAAAGCCACATCACGTGGTGCATTCTCACCTACATGCCCTGAGTAAATGATTGTCCCCCTCAATCACTCTCAATGATAGGATCTATGCTAGTACAGTCAAACTCCTGTTAACTTCTCTTATAGACTAGCACCTTCTGTAAGAGGGGAATTAACCATGGTTCAAGCCACACACAATACTCACCTTTAGTGGAATTCTAATAGTATACTAATGTAAATGCTGCAATCTGATTGGCTGAGCTACTTGCATACTATCAGCCATTAGTATCATCCAACAAGTGGACTAATGCAAATTCTGCATTTTAATTGGCTACGCTACTAGCAGACTATTAGTAATAGTCCTCGAGTAACAAAATTAGCACAATCGAGTGTGACGCTTTTCTTTCCTTTTATTCTTAAATAAAGATTTCTTCAACTTGCATTTGCTAACTTTATTTTTGCCTTTTCTGTTGGACTAGTTGGGTGATACTAAAACAATTGAAGGCTTTCGTGCAAAAAGGGCGTATATAGCATTTTGGGCCGATTTTTATTTTTTGCAGAATTGAGCTAATTTTTGGCAGACTGACTTGTTTTGACATGAAAAGCATTGTTGCATAATTGTTTTTGCTGATTTGAGCTTCGTTTTTGAGAAATAACGTATGCAAAAAACTCAGTTTTCCAAGGGTATCTTTTGGAGATCTTTTGTTGGAGATCTTTTGTTGAGATCTTTTGTTTCATGGGCTATTGACCCGTAGCCCTTGCGGGCTGCAGGTCTAATTGTTAATTGGTATAAATCTACTAGCGTTCTATTACGAATGCTGTTCTCCGATTGGCTACGCTACTCACTATCTATTCTGTGATAGATAGTGAGTAGCATAGCAGTGTGCCCTTGTTAACAAAATGATGGCCGCTTCTTGGTGTTTTCGAAGGGTCTGTGAAGAGGATTTAGATAAAGTTTTGAATGACTAGTAGCTTTATACTAAAACAATTAGATTATTTGCTCTCGACTTCTATGCGTGATAGAAATCTCAAGCTCATAATCTAATTGTTTATTAGAGTGCAGTAGCTGGAGGTCATCTGTAAAATACAACATTTTCTCATTTTTGCAAAGTTAGAGAAGAACATTTAAATACAAATGGATAACTAAATTCCTAAGAAGACTAAACTGAAGGGCATTCACGGTTTTGTAACTTAAAAAAAAAACGAGAAAATGTTGAAGAAACTGATGAGCACGTACACAACAGGAAACTCCAAACGACAATTCAGTCCGCGCGATTTTTCTACAGCGTTAAGTTAAATACGATATACGAAAACAATTGGAAATGGTTTGATGAAGAAAATTTAAGTAAAAATTCTACTAAAACAATGATATTATTTGCAGGGCTCAAGACTAACTTTTCAGCTTGTTAACCCAGTGGCTAGTGACAGGTTTGATTCACTAGCCAAAACAAATTTTTCACTAACCAGATGCAGACATTTGCAAACATAGGCATCGATGTTATAATTATAGGCGTCGCTCAACAATGACAACTGAAGTTTTTGCTTCCGTGAGAAATTCCCACAGAACTTCGCAACTCGCTGCCAAAAAACATTCCTTTCTTTCAAAATGCAGATTCACGATTTCTCATGAACACAACAATTCATTCCATCTTAACTTTATTTACAAGTTGCAAAAATAGGCATCAATATTATATAGGCATCATTCAAATTTTCGAACAACTGCGAATTTTTTAATTTTTTGAACGCGTAGGTGGCCTCCAAATGCTGCGCGCATGAAACATGATCCCTAGAGTTCCGCATGATTTCACACTTGACTTATCATTAGTGGCAAGTAGTTCGTTTGTCATTCATCGCTTTTTACTAAGGGAAAAAAAAAACAAACAAAAAAAGTCATACATTATTTCGCATTTTAGTAATTTAAAGTTCTTGTTTGGGCCAATAAATTATAAATGATATTTATTACAGGCGATGTTTTAAATTCTGCACGCTTTGACTCAATTTCATTTTGTGAAAAATTTGAAATTAACTTTTAATTGGTTCCCTCTGGGTCTCCAGTGCTCACAAATTTTCATTTTCACTAGCCAAAATGGCTAGTGAAGCACAAAAACCACTAGCCAAAATGGAATTTTTTATTAGTCTGTGGCTAGTTGGCTACCGTTAGTCTCAAGCCTTGATTCGCTCTCGATTTCTATGAGTTGATAGTTGACTCGGCCATGCTGACTTGGCCTCAGAATGCTGTAAGTCTCAATTCCAAGGACCTCAATTTTAAAAATTTTTCCAGTGCAGGATGACCCCATGCCCCCTACAGGGGATCGCCTGCTTGCCTGTCTTATCTTGAACGCCCTTCTCTAAAATCATGTGTCCGCTTAGGGCTTGCCACGAGTTGCTCGAGATTTCCCAAAAAGTTGCTCAAAAGTTGCTCCAAAAAAAGTCAAAAGTTGCTCAAAAGTTGCTAAAAAAAGCAAAAACGTTTTTGTTTCTCTCTTCTTTCATTTGGTCTGATGCAAAAATATGCAATCTGTACAACAAAAGTAACATTTCTAAGCATTTTTGTACAATTTTGCGTTGTAACCAGCGTCGCTAAATAAATTTGCTCACAATATGTATGAGTAAATACTGCGCATCAATATCAAAATTTTTTAAAACTTTTTAAAAAAGTTTTTAAAAAATGTTAAAAAATATAAAAAAAAATTAAAAAAAATTCTTTCCAACAATTTTAAAGAAATTTTAAAAAAATTAAAGAAATTCACAAATTGTCTACTGAAACATTGTAAAATATGGAAGCATGTCCAATTAAAGCACTAAAAGCTGCTCCGATATCTAGAAAACTAGAAATTGCTCAGAATGGAAAAACTTGCTCGAAACAAAAAAAAGTTGCTCGAAATACGAAAAGTTGCAAAAAAGTTGTCGAGCAACTTGTGGCAAGGCCTATGTCCGCCCCAGCTACATGCTACATATAAATGGTATCGACATCGAAGCATTTTGCAAATGTCTTGGAAATAAACATTAAGAAAAACCAAAGAAAGCAAACACGTTAACTTATCTATTTCTTACCGATGTTTTCGGCTGGAAAGTCCTTAAGAGATATGTCCGGATGTTTCTTCCCAAACTCCTCTCTCATAGAAATCAACGGTTCGCTCGCTATGATTTGCACTTTGCTGTCACGAAGCGCATCTTGTAAGGCACCGGTGAACTTTCCTGTTCCTGCTCCAAGCTCTAAGATTCGTAATGGCTGATTTGATGAAGCAGCAAAAGGTGCAATGCCAAGTTTATCGAGAAGGAAGTGTACAACCTCTCTTGAATAGCTCGGTCTGCACCGCTCATAAATTTGAGACGTGTCGCGCTTGTCAAACCCACCTTGGGCCATGGGATGTACACTGACTTCTTGTGACATTCTACGTGGCTTTAGCTTAAAAAAAGAAACTGTAATATTCTTCCAGACAGTTGCAGCCCTGGAAAGAGAGCGAAATCTAATCATGAAAACGGGAGGCAGAGATCAACAGTCACCGGAAAAGTCACGGGAAAGTCATGGGAAAGTCACGGAGAAATGAGTTACCGTTCATTGCGTCCAGCGGCTTTAGCCTATATGGCGGCACATAGGTGGTGTAAACATCCACTCAAAAATAAATATGGCTGACTCGACGAAAGTTGTATGTTTTCGAGATCACAGTACGAGCGAAAGAAGGGCACACTACTTGAAAACGTTCTTATATTTATGAGAAGGCTATAAATGTCACTTGAAAATCGCTAAAAGGAAAATATTTTTTTTCTTGTCAAAATTAGGAAACGAAAACTAGAGATGCATTTGCACAATGGACAAGGCTGCTGACAAAACTTACGTAAGCTTATCCAGGTTTTGACAAGACTAGTAACTATACACGCTCTCTCAACCCGTTCTGTCTTGGTTGAAACAAAATGGATGCATCCATGGAATGTTTAGCGGAAAGACCAGAGGGAAAGAAAGAGGAAAACGCCATGGAATGTGAAAAGACTAACTCCGGTAGCTACAAGACAAAAAGCTATGGTATTTCAATCGACTCTGGTTTGATTCGCTCTGTACCGGTGGAGGAGCAGGCTTCAGTATTAAGAAACTTGGGTGTGAATGTGTTCAATCAGGATGAATTTGAAGAAGGAGTTTTAAAACAGGTCGACGAGGCCATTGCTGTGAAAGAGACCGAGGAGATCGTGAGAGGATGGGAGAGAAACTTGAAAGCTGTTGATGAAGATATCAAGTTAGTATTTCGATAGTATTGCTAGTATATAAGTGACCATACAAAAGATATATTAACTAAGGAGGGTGAATAAAATACTCCAGACATACAAGAGATTCAAATTCATCAAGCAGTGCTTTAAAGAAAGATTTTAAGCAGAGCTTTAAAAAAAGATTTCAAACAGGTGGCTGCCCTGCTGAGGGACCTGTCAGTAGGCAGTACTAAGAGAGGCCTATTTACAACTTTCTGCAGAGGGCAATTTTGGAAATGCTGAATTTTGTGGCTGGTAGTTCACAACAGAAGACTGCAACCAGTAGAGCCTGGCAGGTGCTGGGTCTTCTTGTACGTGCTGAACAAAGTTGAGTTTCTTTTCATTTCTCTGATCATTTCATCACCATCTCAGTAACCTGAAGGCACAGTAAACAAGGGCAATAATTTGGTCTTCTTTGTGCATCCTGCAGAATGAAGAAACAAATTAGAGGGCTCGGAATTAACTTTTTCGTTCGGGAGCTAGCTGGCAACTAATCGAAAAAGTTTGGTTGCCAACTTATTTTGTATATAACTCACACAAGAACATGATATTATACGTTAATTTGCATGCAAGAAAAGTCACAATTGAAGAGCGAAAACAATTAGAAACAACACGAGTAACACTTAGTTATAAAGCTACCGCTGTTCCCAGGTGATATGTCTCTGGTCCGAAGGTGATGGTTGTCTCCATAGTCATTTTAAATGAAACGAAGCATAAAACGTTTTAAGTCTGTGATTTTCATTGTGAGACAAATACGGGTCCTTGCGTATTTGTGTATTTTATTCAACAACTGATGAAGGATTCAAAGTTTGGATTAACCTTTTGGCTGAATCTTCATTCCCGGCACATAAAAACTCATGTAATTCCTTCAACTGATTGGTATCTGCCACCATTTTGGCGGCAAATGAAAAGCACATGGTGTTGAAATGTGCCTGCGATCCCAGTTTCGGAAGAAGCCACTGAAACAATATGGTGGGTTGTGAGCGCAGTATCGACGTGTCAAAATACGTTCAATTTTTTCCATTATCTTGTAATATTCAGACATTATTTTACTGGGGACCAAAAGGTGAGTTATGTACTAGCTACCATATCCGATTGATTTCCTAATATAAAGATTTAAAAACAAAAGTTGTGTCGTGGTTTTCTTTAGTTATCGGACAAAACACAAGTCGCCAGCTGGCGACCAGTTCTGAAAATTTAGTCGCCAGTGCTCAAATTTTGGTCGCATTGGCGACCAGTGAGTCGCAATTTCGAGCCCTGAATTACAAGTAAATTCCCACAGGCTTCCTGGGAAAATACTCACATGTACCCCTACTTGGTCCTATTCTTATCATTGACTTCCATCCAATTGTATTATTTATTTAATTGGAACAATGAAACGAGATTGGCTGAAGTCTCATTTTACAATGTCTCTAAGGAAAACAGACAACAGTTTACCTATAAACATTAGTACATTACTATTGTTGTTCTTTATCAGGTCTGTGGAAAATGAATTGCAAAAGATTGACAAGATACTGGAAAGACTTGAGGGTAAAAGTGCAACAGGTTATGAATCATGGCATAGAGCCCAAGCAGTGCAAAAGCAAAGAGATAACAAGGTGCATATGATCACACGATCACTTACACTTAAACATTCACATAATTTTATTCACTAGTAATAATCATGGATTAGTTGAGTGTGTTCGAGTCAATACAGTTAAGGAGGCTTAGTATGGTTTTGATGGATTAAAACAGCCCAGCTTCTAACTCTTTTGAAAAATGTTCCAAGATGTTTTTCCTTCCTTTAGTTACTGTTTGCTAATAAGCCTTTTACCACTCTGTGTGAAACTTGAACAATTAAATGTCAACAAATGGCCAAAATGAACTACCGAGTACCTAAGGAGACACTGGGCACTAGTAGGTTAAATCCAGTTTTTCTCAAAATCTACCCATATGACCCCACCTTAAAATTTCAGGAATAAGAAATTGGCTCTGATTTAGCATTCGTGCAAAGTGAAATAAAAATCTGTAAGACAGATTTTGCGCTATTTTCGATTTCACATTTTCTTAGTTTGCAAAAAATCTGCACACTATTCATAAACTGGTATGTTGAATTAGCACACACAAGATCAAGATCGCTTATTTAAAGTTGAATAAATGAAGGGCCAAAATATTAAAAAAATATCAACAAAAAAAAAACTCAACCTGATGTGTAAAACGGTGGAACGATGGAACCAAATGAAAAGAAATGCAAAAGGAAGTTCAATAACAATAAATTTTCATTGATGCGAGGTGAAGAAACCTATGTAAAAGCAAAAAAATGTTCAAAATTTGCGCAGACGTGCTTCGCTGCACAACAGCATGTTCAAATTAATTCCTCATGCTAAGGCGGAAGCTTGAGTTTTTGCGGAAAGCTTCTCCAACTTGTACAGTCATTTTATCGGCCGTGGCATTACCAATTGTTCCAAAAGTTGAATTCAACTTCAAAGTAATACTGTACGTTACTATTTTTGTTTTCTAAAGTCTGGGAAACTGCTTAAAATCCGCAATCGATATTCAAAACTTACTTGAAAGTGTACAACTGATCGTGAAGGTTCGAGGACTCTGTACTCGTTGATCTTCCATTCTGAGGCCACCTGAACACTGACTTGCATTTTTTCCTTTCTATTTTAAATCTCAAAGCAGTAATTTCTCCATGATAGGCATGAAACAAGGCCTTTGAAGTTTATAGATTTGGCCTGCAATGCGCCATTATTATTACCTACCAAATTTCACATGAGATCAAGGCCATTTGTGCCAGCCAGCCACTTCAAGATGGCATCCAAACCCTGAAATCATATGGCATCGGGATCGATAATTGCGGGAGATTGTAAATCCCGTAGGAAAAATAGTATGCATTCTCCTTTGTCGAATGTAATTAATAACTGTGGAGTAAATTAATATGTAATATCATTATGTTGGTAACTGTACATGTACATGTATGGTCAAACCTGGTTATTACACACATTCAAGGGTCAGGGCAGAGTGGGTGTATTGTGGAGGTGTTCATAATATAGTGGTATAGATCATAGGAATTCTGGTTTCCCTGGGACTAAATGAACTGTCTGCAGTATTGATTGAAGTGTCTTTGTTGTTAAGGTGTCTACTACACTAGGAGAGGCTGGACTACACTGTTTATGAACTAAAAACTTGAATATATTGTTGACAGAGTTTCTCGTTTTATTCTATATTCTTATTTGAACAGTTGCGACAGTTAAAGAAACTACAAGCCACTCAAAAGTCATTGCATCACAAGTTAGGTATCAGCAAGGAGGGTGAAGAAGAACAGGAAGGTAATTCATTTGAGATGTGAATGACTTAAAAATATGTCACCTTAGGTTGTACACACTGAGCAGAGCTACATTACTGTGTCTACAAATCAACATGATATCTTCACACTGAGTTTAGTGAGGAACCATAAAGAAGGGGGTCTTAAGAATTTCTGTTAACTGGCAATAGATGTTATAAGTAAACATGATTATAGATTATATTAAGTCCAGAAGTATGTGAACACATTTCTTGAATGCTTTTCTGTTAGTTTATATGACTTATTGCTTGTCTACATGAAAGTGTTTTGCAGTTAGCTGTGATGAAAATAGGAATTAGCAACTTAAATGACCTTACTGTTTACATAACTTTTATAGAATCACTTATGAGTTTGGGAAGACTTGGAAGTCTTTGAGACTTTCAAGCTTGGCTAATCTTACTCCAGTCAGGGCTCATAATGTAAATTCGTATATTTTTTCCATTACTATCCAAAGTACAGTTATTTTAATTATAACTCTGTCAAATTTGACCCCACGGTAAGGTAGACAACTCCTACGGCAGGCACACTGTGTGCTGGTCTTACAGTGTAACTGAATTTCACTTGTTTCTTTGCAACTGAAGTTCCTTTAGGCAGGCACCTCTTCTAAAGCAGATACCTAATGAAATAATGAAAGATGCGAATGCAGCCATAACACTACTGGAAAAATGGCCTGAAAAAATTCACATCTTTCATTATTTCATTTAATTGCTACTGTTGGACATCTACTACCACAGATACCTAATATTTACAAGTTCATCAGTAAGCATCTGTCCTCGTTTGATTTTTAGATGAACACGAGACTTCTGGTGACAATTCTCAAGTTGATAAGGAAAGCAGTAAACTTCTGCTTCCTGGAGGAAATCAATCAGAGCAAGATAAGTTGATTAAGACTGGAGAGATGACACCATTTGGAAGGACTGTGCAGAGCACTAAAGGAAGAAAAGAGCAGCATGATGGAATCACAGACTGTGGTCACAGTAATACTGATCTGAAGGATGCGCGAGATCCTGAGTTGGATTGCAGTGCAACCCAGAACGTTAAGGCATGTCAGGCAAACAACAAATCTCTTGCCAGATCTGTAACAGAGAATGATGACAATGATGATGATGTTTACGATGATGAATATGTTCCAGATGAAAGTGAACTTAAGTACAGCTGGTACGAGGATGAGGATGAAGAGGACACAGAAAGAACGCCAACAAAAGCAGGGAAACAAATGACAAGGAAACATTCTTTGAACGTTGTCTACAGAGGAGAAGACAGTCCCAAAGCAAAGAAGAAAAAGCGAACTAACAAGTCTGTAAGAAGGACTGACTGCAGACCTGTTGATGATGGAAGTGAGAAAGTTTACCGCCAAAGAATCAGGTAAATTTTACATGCACATATATTTAGGCATAGCATAACTAAAGGTAACTCCAATTGCTATGGATTGGTCTCATGGAATAATAATTAGTATTATGCCTAAAATTCAGAGCTTAGTCAAAAAGCTAGATTATCCTTGGGAATGCATTTATTGTACTTGTTGCAATATTTGTAAATTGTAAGTAAATTAAGTTGTTGCAGAAAGTTTGGTTGTTAGATGTTTTAAAAAAAGTGGATTTAAAATTTTTGAAATTACCTTTTATCTTAACATTTAGGGAGCTGCGAATCAAAGAATTGCTCAAAAAGAGGAGTGATTCCCAAGCTGAAGAAAGTGACGAAGAAGAGTTTCCTGACATGGAATTTGACAAAGGGCTTAAGATTCCAGGCAAAATATGGCACAAATTGTACAAGTAAGTCTTGGCTGACTTTTTCAGCTATGTCCACAGTTAATCCGTCCTTCCATTCGTCAGTGGGTCAGTCGGTCGGTCAGTCCATCCATCCATCCTTCCATTGGTCGGTGGGTCAGTCATCGGTCAGTTCATCCATCCTTCTATTGGCCAGTTGGTTGGTCTGTCAGTTGGTTTGTTGATTGATTGGTTAGTCTGTTAGCTAGTTAACCACTCAGCAAGCCAGCTGGTGGGTTGGCGGCTTGATCGTTTGGTAGGTCATACCTCTTACTAATTGAGTTCAAGGTCAGCAGTGTAAGTTATGGACCAAGTTTTCTCCCCTTAAATTTATGGCCCTAGAGTGAAGTGTGCAGGCCTTAAATCAAAGAGAAAAATTGGAATCAGTGACTTACAGTACAGAATGAGAAGACACAGTTAGTAAGATAGTTATTATGCTTGTATTATGTCTCTACCATGTATCTGACAAGTTTGGGAGACCATTTTGAGTCATGTGGAATGGCTTCACGTGTCTGACATCTGTCAAAATAAAAAAGATTAAATTCAAAATCGTTACTAAGTTGTTATCAAATTTAGTCAACTCGTCTATTTGCCATGAATGTTAGGAAAACTTGGCAATGAATGATGTGACATTTTCGTAGCAAAAACAGCTTCAAATTTTTAGTGAGCTGTGCAGTGCAATAAAGCCTGCTAAAATGACCAATCACACTGCACTTAGCAATTGAGAAATACAATATTTAAGGACGGTGCCTACTTTTGCTAATGCGCAGACGTTCTGTGCAACACGCAAGGCATGGTTTAAGTGCCACATGTGCGCTGGTTTGACATGACGCAATCATTTATGCCACCAAGTACATGACTAAATTGAAAGCAAAATTTTCCTACTGTGACCAAATCAAGTTTAATGAACCTGTACTTAAACCAGGAACACCAGAACAGCAGCATATCGCTAACCACTAACTGTTAACGTCTTCCAGCTGAAAAACTAGCTGTTATCTTTCAAAAATTATACTGAAATCCAACTTTAAACATGTACCTGGAGATGGCGTAGTGTGCGTGCAAAACAATTGCAAGATACGCAAATGTTTTACTTACTGGGGAGGTGACAGGAAAAAATGTAACAGGCACTGTAAAAAGTTTAAAAAGGATCAATAACTTTAAAAAACGTGTGGTTACCCCTATATTTTATGTTATGAAATGGAAGTGGCAAGCCTATTCAGCAGTTGATTAGTTTCTGGTTGTGAGCAAAAGATATTTAGACTGTATTTTCGCTGAAACAGAGCAAGGCTGTCAGAGACGCTAAAAGTGCTGTTGCAATGATTTTGTCATAAAAACATCCCAAAAATGGTTTTTATGTTACCATTTACCATGTAGTTTTCAGATCGTTATAAATGTGTTTGCTTTTCTGTATTTAAAGGGGAATTCTAAAGAAAGCTGTGAAGAAATATCCTCTCCTTCTATTTTCAGAAAAATGCTGATGTCAGCATTTTTGTTGAGATTCAAGGCTAATTATCTCGCAAAAATGTGTGGCTACCCTTTTTTTCTTTGTGGATTCTGATAGCCCTTGCAAAGATCTGCTTTTTCCGCAAGGTCCTAACCTGGCGCAAAAACCTTTGTATTTAACTTATAATCAGTATTATTCAAATATGACAGTCAGGTAATCCTATCATAACTTGATTGATAAGTGACTTAATAATTTACCAGTAACCACTTAAGCATTCAGTTCCTGGTATGAATTGAACCTGAAGAAAGCCCTGCGAATAATCTTGTTCATAGTCAATGTGACATGGTTGACATATTAGTTTTGTATGAGGGAAGCCATGCTTCAGAGTATTATTTCAAAGTTAATCGTGCATTTTCAATCCCATTGCTCCAGATACCAGCAGACAGGAGTACAATGGCTGTGGGAACTTCACTGTCAACAGGCTGGCGGCATTGTTGGTGATGAGATGGGGCTGGGGAAAACTATTCAGACAATTGTTTTTCTAGCTGGGCTGCAATACAGCAAGATATCAGCAAAAAAATCTAAGTGGGTACTCCTTTCACATATTGTTTTTTTCCTTTGGAAGCAAATAATGTTAAAGGAGAAAACTTATTGTGATCGTGTTTGAAAAGCAATAATATTAATTTATCTCTTTCAAAAGAATATTGACCTCTGTAAGCATTTTTGTGATAAATTTGGCTGAGAAAATTACTACTTTGTGTTTGGCTTTGTTAAATTCTAATTACATTGTATTGAGAATAATTTGCAATACAAGTATAGTACACTAACAGGAATAGTTTTTACTTCTTAGTCAAATAGCAAATGAGTAATCACAAATTATAAAATTTCCAACAATTAAAAAGATACACAGTGTACAGTATTAACTCTGACTTGCTTTTACAATTTTGAGAGAATTTTCAAACATTACCTCGTGTGATGAGTTTGTTACGGTCATTAACATCATCAGCAAATAATATAATTTTAATTGATGGTTTGTGTGCTGATATGATAGGCGAGGTGGCCTGGGTCCAGTGTTGATTGCATGTCCAGTCACAGTTCTTCATCAATGGGTGCAGGAGTTTCATATATGGTGGCCAGAGTTCAGGGTGGCTGTGCTTCATGAGACAGGAAGTTATCAAGGATTCAAGGTCAGTTATATACAGTTTTATACATAGTGCTTTTTCTTGTTAGGCCTGACTGAGACATGTTTAGCCCCTGGGCATATAAGTAGGGGTGGATACCACTCTCCAATAGTGTTTATCCCTATATTTTGAAATCAACTTTTACCCTGTGATGAGGGGTGTACAGGGGGGTTCTCTGGCATGGTTCATGAGCAGAAAATGTAGTGAATCACATATCACAGAAATCTATTTTTCATTTTCCTGAATCACAAAAATAAGCAAGTAAGGTGCTTTTTTTAATAACTTGCTCTTACACTAGCAAGTGTGTTGGAAGAAAGCAAAATCGTGAAAGGCTAATAAAGGCCCCTTATTACAAATCGCATGCCTAAATCACTTTCGATAGACGACTCTAACCATTCAGAGGACTCACATCTCAAAATCACCAAGAATAGAGTGGTGAAATCATGAATGCCATTTAGTAATTCAAGTTCTTCGCGGGTCACGCAAAACCTTGAGGTGATGGATCAGGAAGAATAATTTCTTAAATTCATGTTTTGCGAAAAATGAAATCAGGTAATCACGCATCACGAGAATAACCCTGTATGACCCTCTGTGATGCTAAAACTTTCTGTAGTTTATCTAAAAAATTTAACTTTGCCATGGCATTTGTTTTTTGACATGCAGGTTAAGCCAGATTTCATCTTTTTGACAAAATTCTTTGTTTTTTGTTGTCTTAAGCAACATTGCAGAATTAGTACTTCTTTATGTTGCATTGTCATTGTTGATTTTGAAAGTACTTGGTAAAAGCTCAGATCCAAGATGGCAGACTTAATGATGCAATGTGCATCACAAGGCCATGCCCAACAAAAGAGATCTTATCTTGAAAGCTGAGGGCTACAGTGTTGTATCTGTTTAATGCAAAATAATTTTTCATATGTCTTATTACAACAAACTCCTAAGAGAGAGTGGGAGTATGGATTTTCTTGCCCTGTCACTAAGATTAAACCGCCATAGATAAGCTTCTTGACAACCGCATTCTTGCACTACATGTCACTGTTCATCCTGTGACCGTAACAATTCATTCAGTGGATGATCAATCTTTTGTTGCAGCAAGAGCTGATAAAGAAAATCTGTAGTGAGAATGGTGTGTTAGTGACGTCTTATTCTGGACTGCGTCAACATCAGGAACGCCTTCTTGCACAAAGGTTTGACTATGTCATTCTGGATGAGGGACACAAGATAAGAAATCCTGATGCAGAGATAACCTTGGCTTGTAAACAGGTAGGACTGGCAGATCATGGGACCTCTGGAATCAAACATTTTTCTCGGCTCAAAAGCAAAGAAATTTTTAGAAGTACAGTTCAACCCCATTAAATGGCCACTCTCGGGGAAATGGCTAGTGGCTGGTTAAAAGGGGTTGGCCACTTAACGGAGGTAAAAACAATAGAAAATGCCTCATTGAGACTTTGATTACTGTCCGCCTAATAGGCGTGGCCATTTAATAGTTGGCTGTGTAATAGGGGTTGGACTGTAGTGTTTATAACTTAAGCAAGTTGTCATCAGTTTTTCATGTTATGGATCATGAATTTTGTCATAACATTGTCAAAGTAGCTGTGGATCCACAAGGTGATAGCCTAGTGGATCCACATACTACTTTGGCAATGTTATGACAAAATTCATCGTCAGTAACAGGACAGACGCATGAAAAACTGATGCCAATTTTTCTTTTTTGTGATAACAAATTGTCAAATTGTCCACTCTCGCTCGTTGATGCATTGCATAATTATAAATTCATGTGTCTTTCCACTTATTGACAATGAAAATTAGCCAATAATTGCGAGAATTTCTGCAGTTATCGTAAAATTAAGTATTGATAGACAATTGGCCATCAAAATCTGGTCACAATGACAAGGTGGCCATATTAATGGGTCAAGACTGAGCTGGCTGGAATAACCAGATGGATGAGATTACCCTGTACTTACAGTGCATTTTAATTTGAAAATTAAAAAAACAGATACATGAGCCTAGAATGGAAAAAATGTCTTTAAGGGGGGGGTTCCTTCTTAACTACCAATTTGTCATGATTTTGTTGCTATGGAAGGTTTCTAACCGTTGCATTTTGAAAACCAGACCTCCTAACGATAATCTTTTTGCACAGGTTTGTTCTATTGAAGAGCCCAGCAAAAGCTTCAAATCACGGCCATATTTGACCAGTCATGTGACCAGAATAGAAAAAACCCTAAAACTTGAAAGCCATCTAAATCCGTCTAGGTGCTTAATGCTATGTATGGGTTTTATGAAACTGACATTATCATTTAAGTTATGAGGGAATAAACTCCCGTATTAACATACTTTCTACAGTAGCTTTCCTCTTTTACGTGAAAACAGTAATTTCATAGTACGGTTTTAAAGAAGACTAAGTTATTTTTTAATTCATAAAAAAAATAAGAACTCTTCTTCTTTTCTTCCAAGTTTTAGGGATTTAAAATTCTAACGCGTGGTTTGGGATAGGCACTGATTACGCATGCGAAGTCATGTTTTTTTCAAAGCAAACGTTCCTTCCTATAAAATTTATCATCTAGCACTGCAAAACGCTCCAAACTAGCTTCTCTGTAATTATCGCCTTCAGCAATGCCTTAGCAACTGCCCTAAATCTGTAGTTAAGAAGAACCCCCCTTAAAAAGAGTGTTTTTCTCTCATATTCAGGGATCTTAGTTTATTTTAAAGTATTGACACATTAGGGCTCAGGTACCGTCAGCATTTTAAAGATGTTTGATTTAAAAAGACTAACACATTTTTTTAGAAACTGTATCATTATGTGCACTCACAAGGAATTAACTTCTGAATAGAGCGGTTCATTTGAGTGTCAAAAGTAATTAGACGATTACTTTGGTTTTGGTTTTGGTTTTACTGCGGTTTGAGATTGGCTGAGTAGTCTAATTGGTAAGTAATTGGTTTGGTCTTGGTTTTACAACGCTCAATTGAAAACCGCTCTAATGTAAACTTAATCTAATTTATTTTGTTAGTTCAGAACGTGTCACCGCATCATCCTGTCAGGCTCACCCATGCAGAACAACTTAAGAGAGCTGTGGTCGCTGTTTGACTTTGTGTTTCCTGGCAAGCTTGGCACCCTACCCGTGTTCATGACTGAATTCTCTGTGCCGATAACTATGGGAGGATACAGTAATGCTACTAAAGTGCAGGTACTGACCTGTTATAAAGGTCAATGGTTGTAAATAACTGCATAGTTGCCTTGAAAAAGCAGATATTGCTGGCTAATTCCTCAAGATGAAATATGAAGCAGTTATTACATTTAGTACTTACAAGCATATGCTCGCCTCTATATTATAAAGTGATGCATGAAATTTAAATAGGCACTTACCTTTTACTGTTTTTTGTGGGTTTTTTCTTTTTGATTTCCTTCGAGAGAATCCGCTTGCAGGTTGCAAGACTTCTCTTGCTTTCACTTGTATGCTTCCCTTACAAGGGGAGCCTTCCCACATCAAAATGAGCGTCTGCTGGCATAAAGTGCATCCTCTGCTAGCTAGTGAGCAGTGATGAGATCATAATACTGATTTATTGGATTGGCAGGTTGAAACAGCGTACAAGTGTGCAAGTGTTCTCCGAGACACGATCAACCCGTACCTGCTGAGAAGACTGAAGAAAGACGTTAACATGAGTTTGGAGCTTCCAACAAAGAACGAGCAGGTTTGAGTTCCTTTAAGTCGCTTATGTTGCCTTCACACAACTTTCTAGCAGAATAGAGGGTGCTTACTTGCCAAGGAACTGCTGTTTTAACCTATCAGAGGGTGTTTTATCAAAGGCATTTTTTCTGCGTGAAATATGTCCAGTGTTTTAACACGCCTTGGTACAATGGTTTGTCTAGGTATCTCCAATTCTCGTGCCCTGTTCAATGTGGGTAACGAAACAGTGGGTAGATTCGTGTAAATAGCATATAGTTGGTGTGCCCAGGGGAACAGGTCTTTTTCATAAAAACAGATCCGGACAGGTTAAATGGAAGTTTTGTTATTTGTAAAGAAAGAAAAGTTATCATATCATGGAGGAGATCTACGCGAGTTGTTCGCTAGTTATCGAACAGTACATGTACAACCAGAGTGTTTGTGAGTGGCACAGTTATAACAGTTTACTCATGAAACCTCAGTCAAACACATTCCTAATCTCTTCAGTCTCTTCTTCTTAGTTCGCAACTATGATTTCCCATCTGTGCTACCTGAATAAAACTCACCGCTACCTTAATAAAACTCACCAGTGTAAGTAAGTGTTTAATTTAAGTGTCATACCAAAATAGAAAATGGCAGTACTAAAACCACTAAATGGGAACACTGTCAGAAAACTAGACCACTTGATTGTGGTCAGTTTTCTAACAGTTTTACCTGAGATTGTTGATTAAGTGTTTCTTTTTTTTACAGGTTCTCTTCTGTCGTCTGACTCAGGAGCAGCGTGAGCTATACCAGCAGTATTTAGACTCCAGTGAAGTGCAAGCGATTCTGGCTGGAAACTACAAGGTTGGTGCGATGTCGTCTTCAGGACAAAATAGCATTCAACACAGTCTTGTTTTGCTTTGTTGCATCACACCGCGCCATTGTGACCTACACTCAGGTTTTCTGCCCTGTCCCTCTTGATCAAAATAGATGATCAGCGAATCCGAATGGAATTGCTCATCAGTTCATCATTCTGTCGAGTGACTCTAGTTTCCGTAGCATGACGCGATAAGGAGTGTTGTTATAGCTACTATCCATCATTATACTGAAATAATACTACTGAACAGCATAGTTCATCGCAGGTCCCCCACCTACATTTTGTGAGGTTGTCAGACAATGCAATTGGGGAAGGGGGGATGGGGGTGGGACTTATAAGCGGAATTTTACAGTATTCCCAAAGATTAGCATGTTTCTAGTCACATAATTTACGTTAATTTTTTATAGGTTTTCTAACAATTTAAAAAACGGTACCAACTACCTCACTTTAAGATCATGAATTTCATGTTCTGCGTTGTTCATCCTGACAGGTTTTTCCGGGTCTCATTATGCTGCGGAAGATTTGCAATCATCCTGATCTAACATCAGAGGCCGGCTCTCTATGGAAGGCCAAACAAGATGCTCTAAAGGCTGAACTTGGGGAGGGGGGTGAGGAGGACGAGGTTGACTGTGATGAGGGGTATGGGGGTGCGAGACGATCCGGAAAGATGATCGTTGTTGAAGCTTTGTTGAAGATGTGGCATGAGCAAGGACATCGAGTTTTACTGTTTTCACAGACCAGGCAGGTCAGTAGAGGATGTTACGGTGTTGAGACTTCCCTGTTGCACGTTCAATTCTTCCTCCGCTTGACAAAACTGTAAAATTCCACCTAAAAAATTCCCTCGTGATAACAAAGCTCTTAAGAGATTCGTTTAGGTCTTCGGAGTTGTTTTTCTTTGGGCGTGAAAATTCATAGTCTGACAGCAACCAATCAGAGATGCTACTTGACCACTTGAGCAGTTTTCTGTAACTCTAAGCTCTCTGCTCTGACGAAGGGCTAACACTCCAAACGTCTGCTTCGGTAACTCGTTACGGCCGTTAACGTCAAGTTTATCAAAGTGTTTCACTTGCCCACCAACACAGCCCAACAGTTTCTTTAGAAACTACATTACTTGCCAAAAATCTCAGACGTTAAAATTTCGGCTGTTTTATCTAACCCTACGTTCTGACAAATTTAAGACACTTAACTGAAACATAGCTAACATACATTTAGGCCTACAAAACACGTTTTAGGGTCAGGAACATCTGTGAAAATGATAGTTTTAATGCACCATGGAGGTTTTATAGATAGACCGACGGGAAAATAAGAACAATTCTGTCAAGCCGTTTCTGTCAATTGTCAAGCCGTTTCGTATTGATCTCAAATGGTGTCTCAACAAGAGTTCTCTCCATAAAGGAAACTAAATTGGAGCTATGTAAAAGTTATATACTGTACCGTAAATAATTCGGACGCTTAAACTAAGTTTCGGACGGTTTTTTTGCAACTGAGCAACTGTAAGTAATGTAACACCTTTGAAACTGCTACGCTACCTCACCAATTTGGAACTTTACAGGTTCAATTTCGCACGCGTCTTGTCGAATCTTATTCGAATCCTAAAATCTCTAGCACTGAAGGCATAGGATGCGCTTAAGAATATACGTTTGTTTATCTAGGCTGTGAAAAAGGGTTTTAATGTTCTTCTAAGTCGAGATGTTAGTTTTGGTCGATAGAAGCATGTTTGATAGCTACTGTTCAACTGCTCATGACAAAGTTCTTACACTGACTTGGTTGTTGGGTTTAAATGCGCTGATAGGCAGTGTGCTTCTCGGAGTAGGTGATCGGTGTTCAACGGGAAAAGGGTTTTTGACGAATCTTTGATAACATAACGTTTTACCAGCGTATGTTTCAGCTTTGTAACATCTTAAAATTTGATCTTTCAGATGTTAAACATCCTAGAACAGTTTGTTTCATCCAGAGGCTACACGTACTTCAGACTTGATGGTTCCACGCCGGTTGCCTCAAGACAGCCCTTGATCAAAAACTTCAACGAGGTACTACCATACCAGCCTTTCTCCGCGATCGATTCATCTCTTGTCATTCTGTTGTCATCCACTGGGCAAATCATAATTATTTGCTTTTTCTTGGAAGCAAATTATTCCAGAAATAAACGAGGCAAAGTACTCATGTGCAGCCAGATTGCACGTAAAGGCTTTGACTCTCTGATTGGCTTAGTAATTTTGGAAAGCCAACAAACAGGGGCAAAACTTTGCGGCATATACAGTTGCCGGCTATGTGATTGGCTGAAAAGTTTAAATAGCTTTCAAAAGGGTCAGAAGTTTGCTTGTGCATTTGATTGGCCGAGGAGTCTGATAAACCGTGACAAAGATATATTTAAAAAATGATTGCACTTGCGGCTGTTTGAGCACAGAAAGCTGTCGAAGTGCTTTGCACATATATGGCCGGAACTCAGTGGACAATACCCATTTTAATACGTTAATCTACGATGTTCAAAATGGGAGGGACAACAAAAACGTACGCGTAGACCTGCGCTCAATGTTGGTTACAATATTGTTGTTTTCAGTCCATAAGAGTATGAGCGAGATTTGTTAAGTCAAACATTGTCCGGATTCCAGAATACAGGGCGTTGCCGTATATATTGGTTATGTAACGCTTTCGAGTGGTACACCATGAAATATCCCACGGGTCACTTGCATTTTGTGGGTTATTCCATGGTATACCAACGTAAGACATTGCATAACTTTTTTATGCCATGTCATAGAAAATACAGTGGCGAGCACAATCAGTGCGACATAAGCGCAGTGAACGGGGGGAAGGTCTGGTGTAATATCTTCAAGTATAGAACGGCTTTCCTGTATTGTAATTGGCTGTACTTTCGATGGCATGGTATAAAACTTGATGTTTTAATACAGTACGTAGTGGAAAATATGTTGATAATTGGATCCTTTCTTCACTTGTTAGGATCGTTCAGTTTTTATGTTCATTCTCACCACTCGTGTTGGCGGCTTGGGCGTGAATCTAGTGGGCGCAGACAGGATTATCATTTATGACCCTGACTGGAACCCGAGCACTGACACCCAAGCACGAGAACGAGCCTGGAGAATCGGTCAGAAGAAACACGTGACCATCTATCGTCTAATTACTAGTGGAACAATAGAGGAGAAGATCTACCATCGGTAAGAAATGTAATGCTGTTTAGTCAACTAACAAGCTTTTATGAAATTATGGCGATAAAAGGCGTGTTCTTGCTCAAAGCGGTTTTCAGTTGGCTGTCATGACACCAAAACCAAAGTAAGAAGATATGGCCAATCACAGCAAAAGCAGGTAACACAATGAACCAATCAGAACACGAAGCGACAACGTGCAACCGGCGCTAAGCGTGGGAAAACGCGCGAAAGTCTAGACGCGATTGGTTTTGGGTCTACTCCTGATAGTTTGAAACAACAGCATGTTTGCTGGTTGTTTAGAGCAAACCAATGATCTAGGGCTCAAATTCAAAATCAAAGGAAGCATATAATGATAACAGCTTTCGACAAAAAGGCAAAAACCCTCCCACGTACAATACTGACACCAAATTGTTCTGTTTTATTTTACAGACAAATTTTCAAACAATTCCTCACTAATCGAGTGCTGAAGGATCCAAAGCAACGGAGGTTCTTCAAGTCAAACGATCTTTACGAGCTCTTCACTTTGGACAATTGCGACAAGCGATACGGCACTGAAACTAGCGCCATCTTTGCTGGCTCGAACTGCGAAGTCAAAGTCCCTGGATCCCGCAAGAGAAAGAAGAAGGAAACAGAGCGAGAGGAACTGGAAAGAGCTAAATCTGCGAAGGCGTTGAAGCAAACGGTGAAAGAATCCAGCAAGACAGGGCTCGATGACGAAACGAGTGGAGGAGCGTTTTCCATCGACTGGAGAGACATTGAAGAAGCACGAAGCTTGACAAAGGATAAAGAAGGGGAGGAAGAAATAGAGAAAGAAGCAAAAGGAACTCAGGAGAAAACCAGCGGAGAAGAGGTTACGACGCAGTTAGTCCTTTCTAATGGCGGAAAAGATGACATAAGTGGAACACTGGCTGAAGTCCCCAATAAAGATTTAGTGGTAGAACAAATAGAATCTGCTTCATCTGCTAATGACGTTTCGACATCTAAAGCAGATGAAGGGCGCATTCCGAGCCAAAGTGAAAAAGAAACGGAACCAAAGAGAAAAAATACGGTGACATTTGCGGAAGACGACCTTGTTCTTAAGGAAGGTGACAAGGCCAGTCCACGAAAAGCGACTGTTACATCAAAAAAGGGCAAGAAAAAGTTTGCGTCCTTGAGCGACGAAGAGCTAAAAAAGCGAATTAGAGTGAAACAAAAGAAGAAGAAACGACGACGGGCAAGTAAGTGTCTTGTTATCAGTTGTATTTGAAACATCAATTTCTTGGCCATTTGCAGTTTAACTCTTATTGACTGGGAAACCGGCAGCGAGTTAGTTTTAATTCTCGTGTCGTGATCTTTGGCAAGATTTTTTTTGGAAACCACATAGAGTTTCATTCCAAAGAAAATATTGCAAAGTATCTTATTCACAACATGTAACATTAGTTAACATAACAATTTCACGTACTAACAATTACACTGTCTACTTTTTTAAACATTGATGTTCAACGAAAGTGAAATGTTTACAACCAGAAAAAATGTATGTGGTCGGGAAAAATAAAGTACGACAAACCAGCATCCCATCCGCTAGGGAAAATAAAAATACTCCAAGTTGTTGTACTCTTCGAGGTCCTTCAATGGTTTGAAACATTTGTTTCGGTTTACAGAACTGGACGGTAAGCACATCGACCACCTGGACTATCATGAGATTTACAACCCACAGAACACGAGCCAGTCAAGTGCAGAGGAAATGGAAGAACAGAAAAAACACAGCGCTCGTCAGGACGAGTTTATTTTGAAACATCTCTTTAGGAAAACAGGTTAGAACGTTATTGTTGTTGTATCCAGTTGAAGAACAAGTCGGTTTTCGGCAGAAATTCCTTCTCTGACATTTGGCTGAGCATGCGCTTTTTGTTTATGAAGATAAGCAACATGGGGTACTTACCATTTACATGGGAAAACCGGAAATTCCACTTGGAAAATCAAGTGGTTCGCGCCATTCCGTTTGGGAAGCTTCAGAAAATATGGGCTGTGATTTGACTTGATGCCATTTTTCTGCTCTTTTAAGTCTGTCTAGCTGATGTGGATATACTTTATAGCGATTCCCTCTCCCGCAACGACGAATTTAATTGTTTAATGTTTATGCCTGAAATTTCCAATCGGATGGTTTTTGTAAATGGTAAGCACCCATGATTATCTCTTGACGTCATACTGACCTGTCAACTTCGGAGTGCTCGAGGATACTCGTATTTTATTTGAATTGGCTATTGAGAATCGGAAACTTGTCGAGTGCTTCTACGAAGGTATTATATTTATGTGTGATTCGAAAGGATAAACCCTGTGTTGATTATGTTAATTTCGCCTCGTGCGCAACGCAGAAAGCCAAGCGGAGCTTGATTTGACTCGAAGAAGTAAACAAACAACATCTGGATCTCAGGCTTGGACAGTAACAACTACATTTTAATTGTTATCTCTTGATTACACATCCCCACTTAGAAAACACCACTCGTCTCAAACAATGCCCGAAATCGTTTTCTTTCTCCTGTATGTAGGTTTATAAAACGTTTAAAATTACACCTTGAAATAAAACGTTTAAGGTTGCGTGCTGGAATATTGTACATTTACTTACACTGGAAGAATTTATCTTGATAGGTGTACATAGCGCCTTAAAACATGACGTCATCATGGAGTCAAGTAATCCCGACGTAGCACTGGTTGAAAGTGAGGCTAACCGTGTTGCAGAGAATGCTGTCAAGGCGCTCAAAAAGTCCCGCCAACGATGCCTGAGTGCAGTCAGCGGTGTTCCCACTTGGACAGGCGCGTCAGGCTCATCTGGTCTGTCGGAGCTACCTTCAAAGAGGTATGGTTGTGGAAAATATAAATTGTACGCAGGATACAGAACGGTTTTCTCATGGCGTTATAAAACGAAAACTATTGTAATGAAAATAACATTCGGACATACTCAATGAAGTGCAATGAGCCAATCAGTAAGACATGCAAGCGATGGCAAGCGCGGGAAAACGTGCGCGAGTTAAGTCACGATTTGTTTGGATGTGACTCCTGATTGGTAGAAACAACAGTATGTTTACTGTGATAGGTTGAAGACCCAGTTTTGGCCAAGATGCTTTGGGCGCTGTGAGGAATGGAAAATAATAGAAACCTCGCTATCATGTAAACCAAAACAATAACAGACCCACCAAAAGAATAATGGTTAATACTGGGTCTTAAAAATACCTTACACTTGTATTATAACCAAAGCAAAAACACTTTCAAGTCCTTTAAAAATGGCAATATTTTTTTGGTTTTTATTCCTCCCAAGGTTTGAATCCATTAAATTTCTAGACCCTCTAGATGACGTTTACCGTAGCTTCTACTTTTCTACTTCATCGGTTGGTCGTAAATTGTGGTTGTTCATAAGACAGGCTGCCTATCCAGCATTTTTAGTAACTAGTTTACGAGGTGTCAATACGTGTGTTTTTGTTTGACCAGGCCGCGTTTCGGACAGAAAAAGAAGCTTGGCACAGAGGAAGGTCCAAAGGTGAGGATACTTTTTAGCCTAGCTTGTTTTATTATTTCGCCAATCGCTTGCTTTATTTTTCCTCGCATGCTCTCGGTGAATGAATGAGAGTTTGCGTTGTGTAGAGAAAGACTATTATTTTTGATTGATATATTGACAACCTAAGTGACAATCATCTCCAGAAGGGAGTCTACTTTTGCTCAGGTGGTCGAAATGTCATTCACCAACGATGGTGTTTCTCGACCTTTACTTCTCGCAAGGTGGTCGACCTTGCCAAATCACACTTACTACACGATCACACCAGTGAAATGAGTTTGGGGTTTTGTTTGTATTTACCAGACTTCCTCCAGTGTGGAACCCAAGCCTCACTTCAGCGGCGATGTGATGGGCATGAGCAGTGCCACAGTAGAAGGCTCAGAACCAGTTCACTCCAGTCAACTGCTGGCCAAAATGAGGGCGCGAAATAATATGTTGCCTAGCGACGACGCAGGGAATAAGAATGACGATTTACTTGTCCAAATACGGAATTTCATTGCGTCACAATGCACAACGATTGGACAAGCTACCACGCAAGAGATTCTGGATGAATTTGGTTCAAAACTTCCACAGAGTGACTCGGTCGTGTTTCGCTCCATGCTGAGGCAGATTTGCGCTTTTACAAGAGATTCTTTATCGGGAAAGGGCATTTGGTTGTTAAAGGAAGAGTTTAGATAAAGTATCCCTCGGCTCTATAAGAGAAGTCAAAAAGAAAAAAATTGCGTTCAAGAAAGTTTTAACCTTGCGCAGAAACGGCAAGCCAAAAGACGGAAAATCTAGTCAGATTGCAAAGCACCTGCTGGTACTTTGTCTATTGGCGGATAATTGTGAGGTGTAGAGAGAGCTATAAACAAGTATTTTATAGCACGAGTATTGACTGAAACGATTTTTAGATAGGTTTCGCAAAAGCGCTATATAAGCGTTTGAAAGTTTTAAACGTGCTCAGAGTAAGACTTTGAAGTAAAGAAAAGTTCTCTTAAATCGAGATCTCTATGTCACAACGAAAATGAAAGACTGTAAAGAATATATACGACGTGGTGTTGATATCTGCACGTGATATTCACGTGACATCTGTAGGTAACACGTCCTTACCTGGCACGCGATAATGCAGTGGTCACTTACTGGCTCCGTCTTTTTACTTGATCTACTTTAGCAGAGTACGAAAACTTCATAGAGAAAAATTCTTCGAATTCAGGTTTTCTGACTGCGAAAGTATCTCGTCAGTTACGAATTTATACAATAAAATGAAAATACCTTAGATACACGACACTCTTCTTATTAAATATGTACTATCAGCTGTACTATTCCTGATTAAATGTCTTTTATTTGTGAATGGTTTGTAACTTTGCTTTGTCTCTCGACAATTTCTAATATTTATTAATTCCTTCAGCGGTTTTCTCTCCAGTGATACTCCCAGTCGCTCGAAGCAACGTAAACTGGAGATAAGCGCCGGCCCGTAATGGGACTGTAATGGGCTACTGGGCTTGAACGCAGGTTTATTTCCAACGATGACCAAAGAACATTATTGAAAGCTTCGAGCATTTCCGGATAAGAGCCGAAGACCTCTGAAATTTCCGAAGACAAATGCGAAGATTGCCGATGGTCATCGACTACTTCTGAAGACTTACAAACAATACCGACAGAAGGTTTGCAAACAAAGACTTCAAATTCCAGAGATTTCACTTAAATTTTGCAAGCGATTTTGTTAGCCTTTTAAAAATGTCCTCGTACTTATTAATTCCAAATTGCACTCGAAATCATCGATGCCATTACCCATACAAAAGAATAAAACGGTCGTTGAATGAGCATGAAACGTTGCTCGGCTCACTACAAAAACAACAACAAAAATTTACAGTCAAACCAAGTGAAGCGTACCCTTCAAGATTACATTAATGAATTGATTATTTGAATGTTGAACCCGCTAGTCGTTTCAAGAATGCAATAATGAATTCATTATTGGAAAATTGAACCCACTAGTCGTTCCAAGAATACGGCTAATGGGTTTAATGTTCAAAAAAATCAATTTAATATTGACTTTTGAGATGACCAGCGAGTTCAATATTCAAATAATCAATTCATTATTGTATTGTTGAAACGATTAACGGGTTCAAGATTCAAATAATCAATTTATTAATGTAATCTTGAGGGGTACGCTTCACTTGGTTATTCTTCCTTTATTGCTGGGCTATAAAACAGCCAGCGAGCATATTTTTCGCCGGGGGAGGCGGACGAGGGGCTTGTTATCTCGCTCGAGGTTTCGATTTTGCTGTAAGAGTTGGGTGCTTGTGCGTTTTTCCCGCCAAATCTATTCCCCTGCGTTGGGGGACTGGTGTAGTAGCCCAGAAGACACCGCGGTTTTATGAAACAAGATGGCGGCCACGGGGGCGACTACGGTAGGATATTTCCTTGAAACTATCTAAATTTTCCACTTTATAAATGTGAACGAACTCTTGTGTAATTAAGTGATAGACTTGTCCGAAGTTTTTCATCATATTTCCTGGTTTCAAATTCTGGTAAAGATGTACAGACTGCACGTGTGTTGCAAATATGTACGGGAGCTTTTAGTCCCCTTCTGACATGATTTTGTTAATTAAGTTTGCAGATAGATCGAAGGTAACTCCTCTGGCAGGGCAGTGTTCAGGATTTAAAATGCATTATCAATGCTCTTTTAAGTCAGAAAGAATGCATCTTATTTAATTTTTTTGGTATAGAACGAGAAAATATCAAAAATGTATCGCACAATCGATCATAAAGTCTAGATCCAGTTGATCATGAAACTGCAAAACTATCCGCTCTGATTTGCGCCGACAAACGTCAACTCGCTATGGGTTACTTAAAATCTTGAGCTGTAGTCTGTCATTGATAATTTACACTGATTTTGGAGTAACTTCTTGAAATATGCTCGACCATTCGAAGGTGTATGATTTAGCCTAAAATTTGTAGGAATGTTGAATGACTAAAGCCCTGTCCAAACGAGAAATGTATGGCAATCAAACATTGTTTGGTGACCAAACATTTTCTCATTTGAACATCTTCTTTGATCATGTACGTTGGATCGTATTTGATCGTGTTTAATAAAATTGGAACATTTGATCAAATATTGTATAATGTTATGTTCGTTCAAATATACCATTTGGCCAGTCAGTACAGTATTGACATGACTTTGTTTGGTTGTGTTTTTTCGCCAAATATTTCGTGCTACTGCAGTCTTCAGTCCTGTAGTCAAAGACTATGAAATAAGTAAGTGTTGGAAATGAAATGCCACCACGGTCTGCAGTTCCATATTTAGTGAATTTTAAATTAGTGAAGTGTTGAGCTGGAGTGCTACTTATTGTCTGTTCTTCCATTTTCGTTTTTGCTTTAAACTGGTATATCAAGCACAGGGAATGTATAAGTTTTGACTGTTAGAATTTTACTTCAAGATTTAAGCTTATGTACGTGACTGTTATGGAGACACAGCGGCCTCATGGTTAGTGCGTTTGACTCCAGATCGACCTGTCTGGGTTTGAGCCCTTGTTGGGGACATTATGTTGTGTTCTTGGGCAAGACACTTAGCTCTCACAGTGCCTCTTGCTACCCAGATGTAAAAAAAGGGTACCGGCGAATTTAATGCTGGAGGTAACCCTTTGATGGACTAGTATCCCGTCCAGGGAGAGTAGAAATATTCTTATTCGCTTCATGCTACAGAATCTGGGGTAATCCCCAGCCTGATGGGCCTCTTGGCTCACATGCAGACTTAACCTTTACCTATGTGACTGTTGATCCCACTTTGTGGGTGTGAGTGTGGACCGTGTACTATTGTAGTGTAGCGGGATATGATGAGAAGTACTAATTAGTGGTTAGGTATTCTAAAGTTTAGCCTGGAGGTCCTATTAGGAGTTTTCAGGATATGGGATATTCAGATGATAAATTAACAAAATACAGGATATTTTGGGGGAAATGAATGGGATATGGGATATAGAACAGATATCCCAGGATATCTAACAGGAAAATTGTTTAATTTTTGAAACTGGAATTAATGGGATACAGGATGTTAAGGCCCAATGAGGCCTCATCCTGGAGTTCAGCTGTCCGTAGTGTTTAAAGTGCTAATGTCTAACGTCTTTTATGAAAAGGTGATTCCAGGATGTCAGAATCTCACAGGATACTGGGCTCCAGGTCATGGAATACTTGTACACACATCAGATGGCAGACCAAGTAAGATGCCAGTTCAGTGTGCAGCATTTAAAAATATTTGAGTGTGTGAGCTGCATGGAAAAATAAAATGACAAAAATTGATGTGAATGATGAAGTTTGAATCCTGAGAAAACTGCTATACTGTCACTCATTAATTTCTTTCTCCAAGAGAGAGATATCTGACATTGTGGGGCCCCGAGAATATTGATACTTGCCCCAAATATTGTGGGGTGGGAGGGTGTCAAAATTTTTTAAGGAAACCATTAGTCAAAACTGGGATTTCCTAGGGGCTTGAGAGAGGTCAAACCATAAGGCCCTCCATGGGATCAGGGTGTGGAAAACAGTTGAACCCCCATTGAGCAGCCACCCTTGGGGAAATGGGAGGGGGCTTCTAAATAGAGGTTGGCTGCTTAGAGAAATTTTGTATCCTTGTGCAGTCATGTAATATCCTTTATGTCTTGTTAGTGGTTGCCTGGCTCTCATTATTTATCTAGCTTTATTACACTATGACGGTGATTATTGGAAGGAATTTAGAAGATAGTGTTTCTGTGTAACCAGCTTTTATGTACTGTACTCTGATACAATCGACTCCCGATAACTCAAACCTTCAGGGGAAAAAGAAAAAGGTTCGAGTTGTTGGAAGTTCGAGTTATCGAGGGTAAAATTATATAGAAATTGGCTTGAAGGGAAATGAAAATTACTTCGAGTTAGCAGGAGGTTTGAGTTAGCGAGGGTTCAGGTTATCAGGAGTCAACTGTTCATGGCCAAACATGCAAAATAAACCTAATGGCTCATTATTGTGTTCTGTATTACATAGTGAAGCTACAATTAACAAAACTGTGTTTGAACGTTTTTATTAGTGGTCACTTTTTATATTTTGGAGTCTTATCTGTCATCACCTTTTCCAAAACTAAATCAAGCTCTTTGCATTCAATTTTGGGTGGCTACATTATAGGGGTATGGACAATAAAAAACTCCCATCAGGAAGACCAATTAGAAGGCTAATAATAGAAGCGATTGCTTAATAGAGGTTTTATCTAGAGAACTTTACTGGCAATAATTTTGGGACTTTGATAAGTGGCTGCTTAATACGGGGTGGTTACTTAACAGTGGTCCAACTGTATTTTTGAGCTCAAATCAAAGGTGTCCATTGTAAGAGGCACTTGTAGGGAATGAACATGTCATTCAAGGTGTGTACATTAATTGCGAGTAAGATCTGGTGGAGGCCTTTGTACTACAAATCACAGCTCTGACAATCAGCTATGGACAGATATACATTCAACTGTTTCTGATAGAATGCTATAAAACCAACATTAAAATAATCACTTATCGATGTAATAAATGTTATAAATCAGTCAGTATACAAAAGCTTGGCCTTTATTGACAAGCTTTACAACAAAGTAGCAGGATATAATTTGACTTATAAAGAAAAGCTGACTTGGCAGTTTGTTAAGTACCTGAGCTAGAAATGAGTTATACAGTCATGTTGTTCATCTTCAAGTATAACTATGCCTACTTTGACTCATTATTCACAGGAACTTCCCAGAGTTCCACACATTACAGGTATCCTGTCTTACATGAAGTCCGTTGGGGAGCTGACTTTCAAAGTGTTATAACTCGCAAGCTGATTAATGAGACCCATGGTAATATTTAACTTTTGGTTATACATTTCTTTGACTTTGCTATAGTTTTGAATGTAAAAGTTTTGATGTAATAATGTTATAAAACTATCTACATTCTAGCTATCTTTATGGATCTTCAACATGTTCCTGACGGTGGGGGTACAGGAAGAAAAGCTAGGTACTAACAAAAATATATTTTTCTTATATTTTTTGCAAAGTCATTCACTAGTCTGGTTTGCATGCATCTCTTATTAACAAAATGGAGCTATTGAAAGTTTAGAAAAGAACACTTTGCTCACTAACTAGGTAATTATAGGGTTACTTATTGCAAGTGGCTTAATTCCTGAGCTTGTGAAAACAATATTTCTTTTTAACAGCCTGATAAAGTTCAGCAGGAGATATCGAAGTGTGGTGAGAGCTTGTATCCTTGACCTTGAGGAGAAGTCTGGTATGTTTTTGTGTTATGACTTACTACATGTCGATATACTAAACTTTATGGAGATATAAGCTGAACCCTTGGTCAAAAGTAACTTTAGATAGTTTGAGATGGCGAGGTTTTGAGTAGCTGATAATAAATAACTGTTAAAACACATCCCAGGGAAAGTCATTTAAGTACAAAATACAGTAGCAGGTTTGAGTTACTGAGGTTTGACTGTATTGATTGTGATGTGTGACACACCTTCTCACTTGGTATTGCTTGGTTTCAAGAATCCCAATGTTGACTAGTGATAATTTATTGATTATTACTCATGTACCATTGTGTTTTGAATCATTTGTTTAACATAACTTGTAATCGTAATGCCAGGAAATTACTGGACTTTGTGTTACTGATTATATCTAAGCCTGGTGCTTGTCACGATATTATCACAGACTTTTGACACTCGACACAAGTACACATGACTTAATAGTGTGTGGCCTATTGTTATACTGTCAAAAATTAGTGTTTAATTTTGTCGCACAGTATCAATGCATGTCTCTGTCAGTACAGCTCAAAAGGAAATGTTTTAGTTAAGCTTCTTTGTTTCATAAAAAAACCTTAGTTTGTCTTTATTTCACTTCCTAAGCCTTTAGGGAGTCTTCAACTGGTGCAAGATATCCACACTCAACAGTTTC